TTCCACTCAGTCTTTCTCTTAGTGTCTCTGTTGCTTCTCTGTTCTTGTCTGCTCCTTTCCTGCTGTTTCTTTTCTTGTGGATCTTTACATGTCTGGACATCACATCAACCTAATAAAAGTTGTGTTTGCAGCTCAGTTAGTTTGCTTTTAGCATCTGTGTTCAGGTCTTCACTGATATGCTCCCACGAACTAATGACACCAGCTGTGCTTTAGGCACCAAAACTACCTGGTCTGGGTTAAATAGATCACTTTTAAAATGTTGATTGCGTTAGAATAAAACTTAGTATCATGGAGTCAACTACTACAGCTCAGTTCAGATGGTGTATGATTTCCAAACTTCAGGCGGTGTTTAAGTGGCATACACCATAGGTTCTTAGACAGTAGACGGTTTTTGTAGCTTTGCCTCTGTCTACAAGTGGATCAGAATCACTACTGTTTATTTTAGCAAAGTCTGAAGTGTAGAGAGCTTTATACTTTGCGCAGTTTCAGCTATCTGCTGCAAAACTCGTCAGATGTTGCCTCACAGTCCGAATGGATATTATGCAAAACAAACCCAAGAGTTTCTCAAGGAAAATAAATTGGATATTCTTGACGAGTCAGCCAACTGATCAGAACTCAACAAAGAAGCTTTACAGTTACTGAAGAAAAAACTAAAGTAAATGGTTCAGGTTCTGAAATTATTTATTTTATTATTTATTTATTAAATTCACTGTGCTTGTGCACAGATACAAAATTTAAAAAAACTGTTTTAATACCCAAATACAAATGGTCCTAACCGCTTTAAGTGACAGAAATGTAATCTATTTCTTTAGACTACATTACTGATATAATAAGGTTAATAAGCAGAAACCTCAAAACTGCTCAGCAGCTAATTGCTTTGAGAGATTCTGCTTAAAAAAGTATTTGCATTTGATTAGCTTCCTTATGGCTATAAGATCCTGTGTTTGAAGTATCTGGATTTCTTTAATATTGCTCAGAGTTAGATGACCAGTATGATATTACTCTCAATGAGTGTAGGCTCAAGATGAAGGTAGAATAAAATGGTTCTCTAAGTATATCTTTTGAAAAAAGAAATCTGGGAAAAATTCTTTTTTTAAAAAAATGCTTTTGCTTCTAATGCCCTATTTTTCTTCTGGTATTATATTTGCATTTAAAGGTGTTTTTTTTCTGTCTTGTCTAGGCCAGACAAACACCAGGCTGAACAAGGTCAAGCAGGTGCTGGGATTGGGGAATGGAGGCCACAAGGCAGAAGCTTCTGTTTCTGCAGTGCCAATGTTTGCCTTCTGCCTGACTCCCTAGCAAGGTTTAACAACCTGTCAGACACCCACCGGAGAGCACGGGAGGTAGGGAAGAGGATCCGCAATGGTGCCAGCCGACCTCAGATTAAAATCTACATTGACTCACCTACCAACACTTCTATCAGGTATGACGAGATCAATCCAAACTTCCCTCTGCACTTATCTGCAGTAAATGCCTCTATGTTCATATTGTTTCTGTTATGTTTATCAGTGCGGCGTCCTTCAGCAGCCTTGCCACAGGTTTCCGCCGTACCTCATCGTTGGACCAACGTCCAGACCAAACACACACAACCAATGGCCCAGCCGACACCGAAACTGAACCTGCCACCGAGTGCCCGATTCACCCCTCAGGTGCCACTGACTGCCCCGTTCACCCCTCTGTGAATGACCAGGGCTCTGCTGAATGCCCTGTGCACCCTGATGGGGCAGACACTACAGCAGAATGCCCTCTCCACCAAGGGGGGGCTAAAAGCAGCTCAGACTGTCCCATTCACACCTCAGGGGAGGCTCCAGACTGCCCCGTGCATTCCACAGTAGCTCAGAGTGCTCCTGGTCATCATGACTGTCCCATGCATGGGGATGGGACCCAGCCAAAACCCGCAACAGACTGTCCGCTTCACACCTCAGGGGTTCAAATTAGCATCAGCGCTCCAGAGCCGGACCCCCAGGAAGAGGAGGCGGAGACAGGGAACCACCGGCCTGGAGAGCACGGAGGGGCAGACACGGGCAGCATGACTGCTTCTCGTGAGTCCCTTGCTCGTTACCATGGAAGTGATGGCGGGATAGGGATATCCTCCAACAATACTCTCTCTCATGTCCCACGCACATCAATATTCAAGCGCCCTGGTCGAAAACGCCGCCACGGAGATGAAACATTCGACCATGAGATCTCTGCCTTTTTCCCTGCCAACTTGGATTTCCTGGCTCTACAGGAGGTATTTGACCATGGATCGACTACTAGACTACGGCGCCAGCTGCATCGCTATTTTCCCTACGTCCTGAGCGATGTTGGGCGGTATGGCTGGAAAGGCTGCTGCTCCAGGTTCAAATTCCTGAACAGTGGGCTCATGCTGGCAAGCCGCTACCCAATCCTGGATGCACGATACGAGTGCTACCCCAATGGCAGAGGGGAAGATGCACTGGCGGCCAAGGGGGCGCTGTTTGCCAAGGTTTGACTTCATTATCTCTCT